CAATAGATAGAATGGATAGGCAGTAAACCGTCCGTTGCAATAGGCAGACGTGTTAGAAATCACAGTAGAAGAACCTTGAAAAGGGTTGAAGCGACTTCTCCAAAAGAATGATTTACTAAGAGCTTGTAAACTAGTATTTAACTCTTTTCAACTTTTGTCAATAGTATTACGATATAACTGTAAATCGTAGATACAAGGCCGTTAAATGATCAAGGGTAGCAAAGGCGCGCCAGGCTGAAAACTTAAATCGTCTGTATGATACCGGAACTATTTTGTGGTCTCATTGGATCTTCGAGATTTTTATGAGTAGGTAAACATAGAAGGCAATATGAAGGAGAGAACTTCAGATTTGCTTACCCTGTCAGAGGGAAGGGTATAATTTTTTAAGTAATGCTGACTAAAAGTTGCCCACTGATTATCTAGCCGACAACGTTCTCATACGTAGCGGGCTATTTTTTCGTCGACTTCCACTTGAGACGAATACTCTTTGTAGGGGCTTGGCTAGACAAAAGCTAGAACCATTAAATTTTTCCACTGTTCGACCTCTTATACTTAGGTATTCACATACATATGCAGGAATTTTTCTTGCTATTAGTTATCGGTGTTGGAGCTTGAGGTCGTTTTTTAGGAAATTTGTATACGTTTTTTATTATTAATTGGAGAACCTGTAGGTATGTATATAGGCCATTCACAAATAACGCAAGATTCTAAAATCTTTTGAGCCCCAATACCCCTTGTTCTGCCTGATTTATTAAACCAACAAATTGGCATTATTAAATAAAAAATAATTTTAACGCGCATTTACTGTACCTTCCTGAAACTGACCTTGAGTTTTAAATTTTATTTTATAATTTCTTGAAAAAAAAATGAAAATAAAATTTCTTCTTCCAATGCAGCTTTTAAAGTCTGGTCTCATGCCGGCCGGAATATAAATACGTATTTCAAATATAAGGCATGCATATATGTTTTTATATATGCATTTACATATACATACATATTTTATTGGTTGCGCCGTTATCAGCTTATAATAAAACCACGAAAATATGCATTCACTCGAATAAGCGGACGCTGCTGCTTCAAGCAAAGAATTGGTTGACATTTCTAATGCGTTTGTACTAGAGATGCCAGATCGAAATAAAAAATATGATTATTGAATTGATTCGAATCGAAATATTAATAATCGAGGCAGGAAGAAGTCGTCAAAAAATAAATCGATCTCACAAGATCGGGTCATATATTTTGTCAAATAACGCCTTTTAAGTACTTAATTTTCTTACAGAAACAAAACACTGCAATTTGACCAACACTGAAATCACAAACATTAGCTCTGATCCAATACTTTTCGTGTCAAATCCTGTAAAAATGTCAAACAGCAAAATTACTCTCTGAAGTGAAAGTAAAAAATGAGTACCAACAAAAAGCACGGGACCAAAAAAATCATTTTCCCTATAAAAACGTCAACCAGTGATAGCTTGCCATTTTTCATGATTTTAACAAAAGGAACAAAACTCTCCCAAAATCGCTTTCATTTACAATACTTTGGAGTAGGGGATAATTTTTGCTGTAACTTCCTGCAAGTTCGAGTAAAAACCAGTAAGTTCATGGAGTACTGGATCAGAGCGAATATTGTAAGTAGTATCCAAAAGTTATCAGGTAGCTAGCAATCCGCAAAAACTTAACAAAAATTATATACTGTCTTTAAGATAATGTATGAGCTTTAAGATAATGTATGAGCATTCAACAGAAATTTCTAAACTCTTAGCCCTACCTAGGAAAATGGTGTATTATTCCACACTCTAGCCCAATAAAGGTAACCGATTTGTTTTTGCAATGCAGAGATTCTTAAAATTTGTTTTTTGTTTTCTATATTTCACTCCTTAACTATCGTTTTTATAAAAAATTTACTATGCAATTTTGTGACCCATTTTTATGTAAAGCAAATGTGTAAAAATATTTTGTAGCCAATTGAAACTAGCACTTTATTGTACTGATATTATTAAAAATATAAAAATTTAAAGGGCTACAAAACTGCATACCCGAAAATTTTAAAGAAAGTATCATTAACTTATACACTGCCGGTCATTTGTATAATTGTAGCCTTTGTTGATTTTTTTTTTTATTTGTATAGAGTTTTAAAATCAGATTATAAAAAATGAATGGAGATTTAATAAACAAAAACAAAACTGTCACTACCGCATATCAAAAGGGTCCCCTATGTGGGGGGGATTGAGTGTACATATCGATGGCTGAGTGGAAGATCGACCTATCTTGGCAGCCAGTTCGAAAACGCTCTATCTCAAAAAACTTTTCAAGAACGCCCTATTTCAGAATTCGTTTCAAAAACGCCCTATCGCAGCTGCCGATTCAAAAACGCCCTATATCAGCATATTTTCAATACATTTTGAAGTGTGATACGGCGTTTTTGAATTGAATTTTGAGATAGGGTGTTTTTCAATTAAAATCTGAAATAGGGCGTTCTTGAAAAGTTTTTTTGAAATAGAGCGTTTTCGAACTGGCTGCCGAGATAGGTCGATCTTCCACTCAGCCATCGATATAGTATATATGAAATATTCATCTATTAAAAATTCATTAGTTCGATGGCTGCAGATTGAAGGTAAGACAACTTGACAACATAAATTTACAGTAACTAGTCTTTAAAGTAAATCGACATTCGCTGCTAATGAAATTACTCAATACGGAGGCCAAGATTGTTTCATGCCGACGAGCTTCCGCAAACGGTTTGAAATGCTTTTATTTTTTCAATAACATTTTGTTCTAATTTGCACTTTGGCTATTTTTTAAAACAAGGAGGAGAGAGGGGAGAAAGAGAGGCAGGCCATTGAATTCTTAGGCCTTTATTCACTAAAGTATAAAAATGGAAGGTGCCCCCTTAATTTTTTTGCACCGGCCTCAAATTCAAATTTTCTAGATTTTCTAATGATAATCAATTGACAAAAAATCGAATGTTGATTCTCGAATTTTTTTAGATAGATTCACGGAACGAATCGCAACAAAAAATCGATCTTCGATTTAATCGATTTAAAACGGCATCTCTAGTTTGTACATTAAATGCGTGCATACATACATATGTGTACTTATTCATGTATGTATTGTGGGTATAATTAGAAATATTTTATGTGCATTAGGCCATGCCAGAAAAAAAGTTCGCCGTACACCCTTGAGTCTAAAGCATTTTTGCAAGGCAACTTCAAACCTTTTTTTTTGCAGAGCAAAAAGGTCGCGTTTTTAAATGTTTCCTCATATCTTTGGCATTCACAGTCGGATCTTGAAGTGTGATACATCCATGTTTTCCTTTCGAGGAGACATTTATTTTTTGTGCCAAATTTCTTTGATCTCAAGTACCCCGTAAAAAATAAAATAACATTTTGCTACTTTTTTGTTTATTCCAGTACAACTATTAGGTAAAATGAATAAAGACGGCCCGATTCCTAGGCTCTGCCGAAATTTTTTTTCGAAGTTGCCTTGAAATATAAATGATACTTTAGGCTCAGGGCCGCTCGGCGAACTTTGTTTTGTGCGCTTCTAAAGTGGCCCAGTCTAGTGTGCATATGCATTAATGTGAGTATGCATTGCTTTTCTTCTTAATATTGGGTTGGTAAGGTGCAAAGTTTCCTCCTAATACCCATACAAACATAAACAGGGTGTTTCAAATACTGTATATGTACATATATGTAAATTTATTTACTTCCACGTGTTTCCTATATATGAATGTATGTACATATGTATGATTTTTTATGTATTGATATTTTGTCTATTAATTATAAATTAATGTATATATCAGTAATGTAATAGTGTAAATGATGATCATGCCGGGTCGGTAATCGCACACAAGATCACCATACTTACATACAAATGACAAAAATATCATCGGCAACAGGCAGCAGGCAATTAAGAAACATAGTAATGCTTTGAAAAATGATTTGATTTGATGTAGTAGACTAAAAAACAAACAAAACACCAAATAGATTAAAATATTTTTCGAAAATTATTAAGGAATTTTTCTTTTTAATTGCAAAATTTGCAATACTTTACTTTTCCATCTTTCACATCACCAATTTGATAGATATCACAGACTTTCGAAAACACTTTTTAATTTTCGATTATTGTTAAATATATTTCTTAAGATTTTTTTTTCTTTCTCTAACAAATATTAACAAAATATTTGGTAAATTTCCTGTTTTATTTCTTTTACTCTTTGCCGTTCGAAAATTCCTAGCATTCGTATTTATGTATTTAATTCTTAATTTTGCCCACTTTTTTATTTCTACAACATCTTTTAATAAAATACCGCTCGCTTTGATTAATTAATCCGCTTCGCTCGAATACCGATCTAGAACTGAAGCACTACCAGCAGCCGTAAATCGTCGGGGGTAACCTAAATATTTACTTACAGTACCGAACAGCTGCTGTTATCACCAAGAAATTTGCTTATCACCAAAAGCGAAAAAGGCGCTCTTCGTGTGAAGAAGAAGAAGAAGATAGACAGTGTATAGAAATCTTCATGCTGGCGTCAGTTAACCCTCTCAGACGCGATGTCCTTTATAAGGGACTGCAATATTTGCGTAGTTTAGCTTCACTTTATTAAACCCCTGTTTAAAAATATTGACACGGGGCATCATTTTCAAATCAAAAGGTTTATTAGCTTTAGACAAGTGTTTATTGAAGTAATTTTCTGGCTAAATCCGCAGTGCGCAGGTGGATCTCGTGAGTGACTGTTCATAATAAAAAATTTGTGCTAATAAAGTGTTCCTTAAAAGTGGATTTCGTGAGTAAATTTTTCTGAAAAAATTAGTAAGTATTCCTGGTATGTTTATTTATTTATTTGTTTACAAAAAAAGGGAAATGAAAGCGCCAGCTACGTCTCCGTGAGCAAAAAGTCGCTGTCCCTTAAAATGGACAAGATTACTCAACGGAGACTTTTTTCACTTCGTAAACGTTCGTTATAAGATTTTTGCGCGTCTGGTTTCGTTTTTTCAGAAATGGCTTCACGACGTCAACTTAATGAAGAGGAAATTCTGGATGCTTTGGAAAGAGATTCCGATATAGAAGAAGATTATGAAAATGATGCCGAGGATGCGGTTGAGTGTGTGGTTGAAAAGATACGCCCTGCAAAGTCGAAAGTTATAGCCCGTAATGACACAGGAGTCGAAAACGCGACAGAAGTTGAGGAGGATATTGAAGATATCGAAGATTTTGAAGAATTGGAGCTGCCGGAAATTTCTGAGGAAGCGATTGCTGGTGTGGCTGCCGAATGGCTGAATTCTAGCGATATTTTGCGAGAAAATGCAATTTCTCTTGAAGAAACTCCAGTCATTCAATGCACAAAAAAGAAAGAGATAAAGTGGAAGACTAGGATGGCATGTACATTCAAATCAGATAAGATACAGTTTACAGCACCGCCAGCGGATGGAAACACTACAGAAAGGACACCGTATTCCTTCTTCGTAAAATATTTGGATGACGAGTTTTTTGTAAAAGCAGTATATTATACAAATATATATGCTACTCAGAAAGGTTGGTATTTTCATTTTAATTTACCTATTGATACCAAAGTTCTGTTTTTAAAATTTTAGGAGACTTAAATTTTAAACCCTGTACCGCTGATGAAATTCGTGTACTTATAGCTCAACATATTATGATGAGCTGTTTCAAGCTGCCACGCGTTCGAATGTACTATGATCGCCGTTGGAACTTGACGTTTTTTTCAAATAGCATGACGTCTAACCGGTTCTATTCCTTGGGAAAACGTCTACACTTAACTGACATTTCTGCTCGTCCAAGTGGCTGTAAGGATCGCTTATTCAAAGTTCGTCCCATAATTGAGCAAGTTCGCCAGAGGCTGCAGGAATTACCATTAGAAGAGAATCTTTGTGTGGATGAGCAAATCATTCCATTCAAGGGAAAATTCATGGCAAAGCAATTTATCAAAGGAAAGCCTTGTCCATGGGGAATCAAAGTATACTTTTTATGTGGAAAAAGTGGCATGCCCTACGATTTTATTATTTACCAGGGTTCCTCTACACCTCTAGATGACATTGTAGTCAAGACTGTTGGAAGCGAAAGGATATAAAATGTATTTTGACAATTTCTTCCCTTCTTTTCAATTATTTGAAATTCTTTAGGACAGAGATATCTATGCAGCTGGAACTGTTCGTTCCAATCGCTTTGCAAATCCACCCTTGCCCGACAAGAATGTAATGTCCAAACGTGGTCGAGGATCAGCAGTTCAATGCATTAAAGAGAATGAAAAAGTCATATTTATTAGATGGTATGACAACAAAGTGGTAAACTTGGCTTCAAACTTCGTGGGAATTGGTACAGCGGACAAAGCTCGACGGTGGGATAAGGACTCACAAGGTTATATTGAAGTGTTTCGTCCTGAAGTAGTACGACTTTATAACGAAAGCATGGGTGGTGTAGACTTATTGCATCAAATGATTTAGTATTACCGAATAAATATACGCACCAAAAAATGGACTATTCGTATTATTATGCACTTTATAGACCTAGCAATAACTGCATCATGGATGGAATACCGCAAGCACTGTCAGGAGAATAAGATAACTAAAAGTTTGGACTCACTGAACTTTCGTGCTGAAGTTGCTAATTGTATGTTAAATATAGAAACAGCTAATTTACAATCGGACACAGAAACTACACGTCGCCGAGGAAGGCCGTCGCGAATGGTGGCTTCACTTTCGCTACAATCTACTCCTAAATCGCACGTGCAAAACTTGCGGGAATCACCAAATCTTCCTTGTTGCAGTTCCCAGGCTCCTAACGGTTCAAATACTGAAAATACGTCCACCCGACCGCAAAAACGTAAGAAATTCGGTTCAAATTCATCCCCCAGAGGAAGTGCGTAAGGACACTGTAATGCACATTCCACATTTTGTTGCATCGAAAAATAATGGGCGTTGTAAAATGCCTGAATGTACGAAAAAATCGTATATTATATGCCAGAAATGCAACGTTTACTTGTGCGTGAAACGCGATAGTAACTGCTTTGCCTTATATCACGAAAAGTAACGGTTATTTATAAAATATATTTTTAACAATTCTTTCAAATGTATGTATATGTAAAATATATTTATATGTTTTTGCATAACTAAACTAATGTATGTATTAAAAGTGAAGCTCAAATTAATATTTTTCAATTAAAAAAACTTAGTTTAAATAGCGATAATCATTTACTTAATTTTGAGTACAGCCAGTTGCAGGCATAATATTATAATACACAGAGTCACGATGTCCCATATAGAGGACATGCAATAACATCCAGGTGAAACGCTTTACCTGAAATTTTATTTCATAATTATATTAAGCGATGTCAAATAAGTACACACACCAATTTTCAGATTTTTATCTTAAGCGTGTGATTTTCGCGACTGAGAGGGTTAAAGTAATGAATGGGTAAAAATTTAATCATACTACTACGAATATTGTGTAAAATGTGCGTGTTTGTATTAAGAACAGAAACATTTGTTTACATACATATTTGTCGTTTAGTCAGAATTTTTTCGAAGGCATGTGAGGGTTATCAACCGCTCTAGAAAGCAAAAAGGTAGTGAATTTTCCTATGAGTCCCAAAAGTGAACAACTTTACCTCCTATAAGAAGATCGTCTCACACTGGGCTTATAACTTTTTGAGAATATTCAATGTTATCGAAAATACAATGCGAAATAATGAAGTACATCAACAAACCACATGCGAAATTTTTACAGTGCAAGAAAGGTTAAAAAAACAGGTATGAAAACGTTTAGTTGATACCACTTTGCCAATTTTAAAGCCGCTTTTTATAGTACAAAGAGAAGCTTTATTAATTGTTCTTGGCTCCGTCCGATTTGGCCACAACCTCTCTGAGTCATTCGAGATTAGACGAAGCTTTAATCAAAATGACCTACTTTATTGGAACTTTTTCAATTTTATGCTGGAAAGCGTTATACGTTCTAGTAATCTGAAGCGTCGCACAGTGGGATGGAAGGAAATAAAATGACCTCTCTTCGAATTTACTGTTTTGGGTAACTTTTTTCGAATTAAATATAAATACATATATTTCAAGGGAAATTCATTTAAAAATGTAAACCAAATACTCAAGGTCACTTGCAGGTCAGCAAGTAATATTTCATTTTTCAAACAAGGTCGAAAATATATAAAAAAATTGCTAAATATTAATTCTAAACCTTAACCTTACCTTTATCTTTAAACTTACCTTTAACCTTAACTTTACCCCTACCTTAACCTCAATCTTAAACGTAACTTTAATGTCAACCCTAACCCTAGCTTTAACCTTACCCTCAATCTTAACCTTAACCTCAAACTTAACCTTAACCTTAACTTCAACCTTAACCTTAACCTTAACCTCAACCTTAACCTCAAACTTAACCTAAACCTTTCGCTTTATCTCTTTTCCGATCTCAATCTTAGCATCTACTAAAGTGAACGTCCAGTATAACGAACTTTCGGAATAACGAGCACATATCTATATTACGAATGCGAACGATTTTTATTATCCGATATAACGAACTCTGTTTATATTTTTAGTTGAAACTTTGGGTTCTTTGTCAAATCAAAGGTTTCGTTCCGCTATTAGAAAAAAACCTTTTTTGATTTTTATTGTTTGATGTTGGTCAGAAACCGGACATGAACGCGGGCCCTGGGGAATGGTAGCGCGCACTGCTAACCACATACATATATATATACAGTAGTATTATTAATAGTATTAGGGCATACTAGCGCTGCAACCTAGATAGATCTATTGCGCCAGCTCTTATGTCACTCCAACCTTTAAGAATTAAGCACTTTGGATCTTTCCATGTTTCAGACTTTGGGTTGAGAAAGTAATCATTATTCAGGGTGTAGAGCCTAAGGCTATTTATACGCGGGCAATCAAATGCATATGTATGTGCTTTGAAATTTCCTCCGGCAGCCCACAGCAGTCCATGCCATCTGCAAGTCTTATTCTACAAAGGTGGTAGGTTAGACTATGTTCAAACAGGGCAATTAGCTGAGGTAATTAAGCTTTAAATAGCGGCATTAAGTTTGGTGTTCACACACACGTCAGGTGCGCAATTAGCGATACGAAATGAGCTGCTGGATCACCTACAGTGATGGAAAAGTTGGTACAATCGTACCTTTATTTAGTTTGAAAGTACATTCGGTACAAACACAATTTTAGGTACATTTGGAACGTAGCCAAATAACTTCTCAGGAAATCTGTTTTTATTTTTTGCATTTTTTGGTGCGGGCAACTGGTATAATAGCTTCCCTCCTTTGTGAAGGTGCATACAAATGATACAGAAGGGTGGTCAAAGTAACGCAACTGTAGTTGATTTCGCCAGATAGATGGAAAATATTTCCTTTTAAAACGTCAGATCAAGGATCCAGAAGGAAAGTCATTCACCTTTTCTACAACATAGTTTTGTCTTGCGCTACTCAAAGAGATTCTTTTCATATCCAAAATTTATTTAATGTGAGTACAGAAGTTATCCTCCTATTTTTCTTTATATAGAAATACATATTTACTTTTTAAGTACACCTATCTACTTTTAGGTAAAGTTTTACGTAAATTAGGTACAATTTTATAATTCGATTTTCCATCCCTGATGGAATATCAGGTACAAAAGAGGACCAGAAACGAACAGCTGATTGCTCTCTGTTCAATAAATATACCTCCAATTCAAAATTAAACATACCTGTATGATAAATTGGGTAACAATTAAGGCCTAAATTGGTGAAAAGGTTCTTAATTGCCAATAAGGTGCCTGTTTGAACATAGTCTAAGCCTGCAGTGTCCTCTCAGGTACACAGAGATAGTTTTTCGAGTCTCCAGTCTAAAATTAAGCACCCGTTCAGAGACTTCACGTGAGAGAGTTATAAATCTCGTGGATGATTATAAATCTGTTTCTCAACATCTCAGGCGGCCCACCTGGAAAATGTGTAGCCGTATAGCTTTCGAAAGAAGGCGATTTAAATAACTTTTGTCTCTGGAAGAATTGTACATACATACATGTGTACATACATACATACATATAAATACATATACTTATACAGAAAATTATTAAAGCTCGCTAAAAAGTGCAATAAGACTTGGATTGAAGCCTAAAGGTCTTCAGTAGCGGACTTTTGCTTGGTATGACCCAGGTACGCATTCTGGTTCCTCCACCAAACAAAACAAGTTGGTTTTTCGGCCGGTCTTGAGTGAGATATTGATATTCAGCTGACTATACCCAGCCTTTCCTAACCTAACAACGGTTTCACTTTCAGCGCAAATAATAAAAAATAAATGAAACGCTTGTTTTGATAATACCAAAATTTTGGAACCACTTTTTTCTAAATATCCTACCGCCAACTTTTAATTAATGTACCTCACACAGCAGCACATGGTTTTTGCGATGTTTTTCGACGCTGATGCTGAGCAAAAATCCTTCAATACGGTTGTCCTTTTTACGCTGCTGTCCATGGGAACTCTCCACATGGAGCGAGAGCAAAGCAAACACCACACACAATGCGTGGGTTGAAAAGCTCACATGTTCTCTGAGAGAACAAGGGCTTGTGGTGAATAAACTTACTAAATATGTACACCTTGCGCTTGAAAGCTAAGTAAAAAAAAAAATTAGTATAAAACAGATACTTCCTTCCACAGCAGTGAACGGCGAACAAAAGCGTATGGCTGTGCAAAGCCAATGAAAAGAAGTTGGAGCAAGAAGAGAGCGAGTGGTGAGCGAGCGCATACCACACTGCAGCGTTGCGAGTGGAACATCTAAACATCGCATAAAGCTTATACAAATAGGCGCTTACACACTGCAGAGTCCGTTCATATTGGGCTGACAGGATACGTGAGCCTTCTGGCCTGGTGAGTACTGGCATTGATGTTCGTGCGTTGTGGTCGCAGTCGTTGCCGTCGTTGAAGACGTTGTAGTCGCTGTCGGTGTCGTTGATAACTTGCTGTGCTGTGTTGCGCTGCGCCGCTGCTGTTGTGGATTTTGTTGGAATTTAAAGAAAGTGTGTTTTTGCCAGGATTTTTTTCTTTTTCACTCGGATTCCTTTAATTCTTCGGTAACAATTTTCACGGAAGCAATTCCCGGAAATACGCAATGGGAAAAAGTTGAATTAGAAAATTGTGCAACACGGAAATAGGAAAATTATCTATGTACGTAACTAATGTGTGCACAGAGTGAGGTGGAAAATGTGAAAAATGCGAGAATCGAAGAAGAATGTGAAAAGTTATGAGAATTCAGCGATTACATGCTGCAAGAAAATATATATGTAAAAGCAGAAAGAGAAACGGAAATGTGAAACTGATCTATGGTTTTGTGTTACGCTGCCCATAAACGACGGTAAACACATAGAGAATCTTGCTCGAATTTTCGTTGCTGTCATTTTTCAGTTTCTATAAGATTTTGTTTATTCTTTGTATTCGACATTTATTTCATACATTTC